TGATTTTAGTGGCAGAAATAACAGGGATTTTAGTGGTAGAAATAACAGAGATTTTAGTGGTAGAAATAGGAGTGATTTTAGTGGCAGAAATAACAGGGATTTTAGTGGTAGAAATAACAGAGATTTTAGTGGTAGAAATAGGAGTGATTTTAGTGGCAGAAATAACAGAGATTTTAGTGGTATAAATAAGAGTGATTTTAGTGGTAGAAATGCGTTTTTTTTTTTGTTCGAGGAACGTTTCTGAAAATTGATGAATGACTTTACTATGGGAAATGAATTTAAAGCTCACACAGAAGGGAATAATCGAATATTCGTACAAATATCGATGCAAATTTTGTTCCTGTGTGCGTCATCCTGACCCACTTTGGCCCAGAAGTGAGTACGAGGGCTGCGTGCAGAGTCAATTTTTGACAAAAAAAAATCGTTATCATAACAATATAACAATATAAATAATCATTTAATAATTATATGGAAGTGGGGAGAAGATGAACGTGTTATTACTGTCTCTTATACACATCTAGATGTGTATAAGAGACAGGGGATGGGTTGTGGGGTGAGGGCGGGGGTGTGGGGTGAGGATGAGAGGTGTGGGTTGATACGACGTCAATGCATCCCCCGGGACCCGCGGCCCACGGGACGGGAGTCCTGCGGGACGTCGGTCCATTACGGGACTTGTCCCGACCTGTCCCTCACCCCCTCACTCCCCCTCACTCACCCCACTCACCCCACGGGAGTGCTGCTAGGAATAAATTTATACGGCAGAGGTAGGCCGAAAAATGTGTTATTAGGTTTTAATACAGAATTTAATAATATATTATATTATGTATAATAAGTTAATAAAATATATTATTTATTATATGGGGAGGGTAGACTCTAAATAACATACTAATTTGAAATATGCATTAATTAATAATAAATAAAATATAATTATGTAATATTTGTATAGTTCGGCAACGGTCTTTCTCATAAACAAGTTAAGCTGAAGACCTCATAATACCTAATATTAATAATCTTATATGCTTTTCACTTATATTATCTAATATATAAAAAAATCTTTTTATATGATATAACTACAATATAGCACCGACTTAATGGAGCAAATGGAGCGCATGCAGCTCCATTATCGACTCCATTGGAGGCTAATGGCTTGTTTTGAACTGTAAACTCCTGCAGGCTGGTGTAGAGTTTACACTCAGAGACTTTACTGTGATTATGTGATATATTTTAGTGGTAGAAATAAGAGTGATTTTAGAGGTGGAAATAAGAGTGATTTTAGGGGTGGAAATAAGAGTGATTTTAGAGGTAGAAATAAGAGTGGTTTTAGTGGTGGAAATAAGAGTGGTTTTAGTGGTAGAAATAAGAGTGGTTTTAGAGGTAGAAATAAGAGGGATTTTAGTGGTAGAAATAAGAGTGGAGATGTGTATAAGAGNCGTGACTAGACGTGACTAGACGTGACTAGACGTGACTAGACGTGACTAGACGTGACTAGACGTGACTAGACGTGACTAGACGTGACTAGACGTGACTAGACGTGACTAGACGTGACTAGACGTGACTAGACGTGACTAGACGTGACTAGACGTGACTAGACGTGACTAGACGTGACTAGACGTGACTAGACGTGACTAGACGTGACTAGACGTGACTAGACGTGACTAGACGTGACTAGACGTGACTAGACGTGACTAGACGTGACTAGACGTGACTAGACGTGACTAGACGTGACTAGACGTGACTAGACGTGACTAGACGTGACTAGACGTGACTAGACGTGACTAGACGTGACTAGACGTGACTAGACGTGACTAGACGTGACTAGACGTGACTAGACGTGACTAGACGTGACTAGACGTGACTAGACGTGACTAGACGTGACTAGACGTGACTAGACGTGACTAGACGTGACTAGACGTGACTAGACGTGACTAGACGTGACTAGACGTGACTAGACGTGACTAGACGTGACTAGACGTGACTAGACGTGACTAGACGTGACTAGACGTGACTAGACGTGACTAGACGTGACTAGACGTGACTAGACGTGACTAGACGTGACTAGACGTGACTAGACGTGACTAGACGTGACTAGACGTGACTAGACGTGACTAGACGTGACTAGACGTGACTAGACGTGACTAGACGTGACTAGACGTGACTAGACGTGACTAGACGTGACTAGACGTGACTAGACGTGACTAGACGTGACTAGACGTGACTAGACGTGACTAGACGTGACTAGACGTGACTAGACGTGACTAGACGTGACTAGACGTGACTAGACGTGACTAGACGTGACTAGACGTGACTAGACGTGACTAGACGTGACTAGACGTGACTAGACGTGACTAGACGTGACTAGACGTGACTAGACGTGACTAGACGTGACTAGACGTGACTAGACGTGACTAGACGTGACTAGACGTGACTAGACGTGACTAGACGTGACTAGACGTGACTAGACGTGACTAGACGTGACTAGATGTGACTAGACGTGACTAGACGTGACTAGACGTGACTAGACGTGACTAGATGTGACTAGACGTGACTAGACGTGACTAGACGTGACTAGACGTGACCAAATATGACCAGTGAATGCATTGTAAAATCGTGTAAAGCTACCTAGTTTGCATTCTAAAATCGAGCAAGGCTTGGTAGATTGCATCATAAAGTCGAGTAACGCTATAAAGATTGCATAATAAAATCTTGCGAGTCTTCGGAGATTGCATGATGAAATCGAGCAAAGGTACAGAGATTGCATAATAATATCGATGCCGACACGATGTATGGACACGATGTATGGACACGATGTATGGACACGATGTATGGACACGATGTATGGAGAAATAACAGGGATTTTAGTTTTGGAAATAAGAGTGATTTTAGTGGTGGAAATAGGAGTGATTTTAGTGGTAGAAATAACAGTGATTTTAGTGGTAGAAATAAAAGTGATTTTAGTGGTAGAAATAAAAGTGATTTTAGTGGTAGAAATAAAAGTGATTTTAGCTGTAGAAATGCGTTTTTTCGATTTAGGTATGTCATTTAAGACATGTTTTTGAAAATTGGTGAATTATTGTGGCGTAGAAATTGAATTTAATGCGCACTCCGCGGGAAATAATCGAGAATTTGTCCAAATATCGATGTACTTTTAGCTCTTGAGTGCGTCATCCTGACACTTTGACCCAGAAGAGAGTTCGTGGGCTGCGTGCAGAGTCACTTTTTGGACAATAGAGATAATTTTTTTATTCATAACCATATTACAATGTGATTAATAATTAATATTTCTATTATTATTAATAAAATAATTATAATTGTTAGATAGTCAGTTTATCTCGTGCGACGTTAGGGGAGAAGGTGAACGTGTTATTACATTCATGTGTGCGTGTCGTGTGCGTGTCGTGTACATGTTTCGTACATGTCACGTACATGTTCAACACCTGTTGTGGCGGCTCGTAAACATGTACACAACAAGTACACAACAACACAAGAAGTACACAGCACACACACAGAGCACGTGTC